GTAACCTTGGTTTTGGCTTTCAGGGAATGCCATTGCTTTAACTATGCAGACCTTCATTGCCAGTGCGACGTCGCTACTCAACTATCGAGATTGGTCATTGCTCTCCACCCAAGAAGGAAACGTCTTTCCTGGCTGCAGTCCGCATCTGCAAACACCTTCACACCTAGAAATACAAAGTCTGTCCCTGCATCCATGTTTTCTCCCTCTGTTTGCCAGTTATCAATAGTATAAATAGCAGGCCTATAGCCAAAAAAAAAAAAAAACCAACAACAACAAGGGGGGGGGGGCAATTGTGTCTCCTGATCTCGCACAAGATCTCAACAAAGCCCTGAAATTACTATCATTATGTAAAGGTTCTTCACAGGTAATAGGTCCTGAATCTTTGCTCCTTCTTAAAGCCAGTTCTTTTCAGGCTCGAAGGACAATAATTTTCACAACTGCTAGAAGTTTATTTCTGTTTTTTTCTGCTTTCACCTTATTTCCTTTATTATGATGATGGGTTACATCAAGACATTTTCCACTGTGGATTAACAAGAAGTTTTCAGTCAAGCAGAAGTTGTTCTGATGGTACTCTGTGTTTTGATGTCTACTGAAGACTTCTATGCATTTTTCCATCGCACAAATGGTTTTGCATCCAATGCAACAAGCTTCTGATGACCACATTTACCCCCCAACTTCTCCTCCAAACACCATACTATAATTACAGAGTGCACCTTGCACATGAAATGAGTAGGCTTGCCAGGAACCCCTGGTGGTGCAGTGGGTTAAACCACTGAGTTGCTGAACTTGCTAACCGAAAGGTTGCAGGTTGGAATCCAGAGAGTGGCGTGAGCTCCTGCTGTTAGCCCCAGCTTCTGCCAACCTAGCAGATATGCAAATATGAGTAGATTAATAGGTACCGCTCCAGTGGGAAGGTAACAGCGCTCCATGCAGTCATGCTGGCCACATGACCTAGGAGGTGTCTACGGACAAAGCCAGCTCGTTGGCTTAGAAACGGAGGTGAGCACCAATCCCCAGAGTTGGACATGACTGGACAATGTCAGGGCAAAACCTTTACTCCTTTACCTAGCCAGGGAAATCCGCTGAACCAGTTGGGTTGAAATCTTAGATGCCTCTTCTTATCCACAGGAAATACATATCCTGGCCATGGAATTTTGCACTAATCGAGCTTTCACTTAGTCATCAGAAACAGTCTTGTTCATAGAAAGTCCAATGACACAGGGTTGTTGCGTCATTGGACAATCCAATGACACAGCTTCTTCTCTTTGCTCCTGTTCCATTGTTTCCTTGGCAGGGCTTGGATTAGAAATGAACCAGTGGGTTGTTGTAGGTCTTTTCGGGCTATATGGCCATGGTCTAGAGGCATTCTCTCCTGACGTTTCACCTGCATCTATGGCAAGCATCCTCAGAGGTCGTGAGGTCTGTTGGAACTAGGAAAAAGAGTTTATGTATCTATGGAATGACCAGGGTGGGACAAAGGACTCTTGTCTGCTGGAGCTAGGTGTGAATGTTTCAACTGACCACCTTGAGTAGCATTTGATGGCCTGACAGTGCCTGGAGCAAAGTTTTGTTGAGAGGTGATTAGATGTCCTTGTTTATTTCCTCTCTGTTGTTGTGCTGTTGTAATTTTAGAGTTTTTTAATACTGGTAGCCAGATTTTGTTCATTTTCATGGTTTCCTCCTTTCTGTTGAAATTGTCCACATGCTTGTGGATTTCAATGGCTTCTCTGTGTAGTCTGACATGGTGGTTGTGAGAGTGGTCCAGCATTTCCGTGTTCTCAAATAAAATGCTGTGTCCAGGTTGGTTCATCAGGTGCTCTGCTATGGCTGATTTCTCTGGTTGAAGTAGTCTGCAGGGCCTGAGTTTGATTTGGGGGAGGGGGTAAGTCTGAGTGAAAGAGGGTCTATCCTAGCAAACCTTTTGTATCGTTACCCCAATACCCCCATGCATATGGGATATATTGAGCATGGTGATCAGATCATGATATGAATAAACATAACAGTTTAAATAATGCACCAGTAAGGCCTTTTCGCGAACCATCATGAGAATTTCGGGGGGGGGGGGGGGGGGGCTGAAGCCCCCCAAGCCCCCCCCCGGCTACATGGTGGAGTTTAGTCTGCAGTGCCTTTCTGTTCCTTGATTCGTGTCTGGGCAATGCTTGCGTTTGGTGGTCCCTATGTAGACTTGTCCACAGCTGCATGGTAGGGAGACTCCTGCAGAAGTGAGAGGATCCCTCTTGTCCTTTGCTGAACGTAGCATTTGTTGGATTTTCTTGGTGGGTCTGTAGATAGTTTGTATGTTGTGTTTCCTCACCAGCTTCCCAAGCCATTGAAATACACAAGCATGTGGACAATTTCAACAGAAAGGAGGAAACCAGGAAAATGAACAAAATCTGGCTACCAGTATTAAAAAACTCTAAAATTACAACAGGACACCACAATTCAAGAGAGATATTGACAAGCTGGAATGTGTCCAGAGGAGGGCGACTAAAATGATCAAGGGTCTGGGGAACAAGCCCTATGAGGAGCGGCTTAAGGAGCTGGGTATGTTTAGCCTGAAGAAGAGAAGGCTGAGAGGAAATATGATAGCCATGTATACATATGTGAGAGGAAGCCACAGGGAGGAGGGAGCAAGCATGTTTTCTGCTTCCTTGCAGACTAGGACACGGAACAATGGCTTCAAACTTCAAGAGAGGAGATTCCATCTGAACATATGGAAGAACTTCCTGACTGTGAGAGCCGTTCAGCAGTGGAACTCTCTACCCCGGAGTGTGGTGGAGCCTCCTTCTTTGGAAGCTTTTAAACAGAGGCTGAATGGCCATCTGTCAGGGGTGATTTGAATGCAATATTCCTGCTTCTTGGCAGGGGGTTGGACTGGATGGCCCATGAGGCCTCTTCCAACTCTTTGATTCTATGATTCTAGGACAACAACAGAGAGGAAACAAACAAGGACATCTAATCACCTCTCAACAAAAGTTTGCTCCAGGCACTGTCAGGCTATCAAATGCTAATCAAGGTGGTCAGTTGAAACATTCACACCTAGCTCCAGCAGACAAGAGTCCTTTATCCCACCCTGGTCATTCCACAGATATATAAACCCTTTCCCCTAGTTCCAACAGACCTCACTACCTCTGAGGATGCTTGCCATAGATGCAGGCGAAACGTCAGGAGAGAATGCCTCTAGACCATGGCCATATGCCCGAAAAACCTACAACAACCCAGTGATTCTGGCCATGAAAGCCTTCGACAAAACAAGCACTGTTATTCAGCTTATACGGAAATGATCTCCCCGAACAGTTGAAGGACCCAGAGGTACACATGCCTAAGCTGTGCAATACACATTTCAACATCCTTCTATATGCCGACGATATGATTTTACTATTATATTCGTAAGTTGGGCTACATAGACGGCTGAGAAGGTTTAATTCCTATTGTCATAACAACGCTCTAACTATTAATAAATCAAAGTCAAAAACAATGGTATTTGGCAAACGACGTAACAGACACAGATGGTTCCTGGATGATGAACCAATAGAGCAAGTTTGCACTTTCACATATCTGGGAATTGTTTTTTCTGAGACCGGCTCTTGGCTACCACACCATCAAAAAAGCTCAGTCAGGGCAAGAGTACGTGCAAATCAACTACTTAAACTGACAAATCACAACCAACCAGGATCCTTAGACCCACTTCTCAAAGTATATAAAGCAAAGGTTACTCCCATGCTCTTGTACGGAGCTGAAGTTTGGGGTCTAAACCAGGTACCATTATTACAGCAATCACAGCACCTGTGAAGTTTCCTAGGAGTGGACAGGACGACCCCAGCTGCCGCAGTAAGAGCGGAACTGGGAGTACACACAGTGGATGGCTTATCCAAAATCAGGGCCTACAACTACTGGGCAAAACTGATGGCCATGGAAAATGATAGACTCCCCAAACTGTGCCTGTTAGAGCAGATAGAAAATCAACATCAGACCTCTTGGTTAGTTCTCCTGACAAAATACATTAGGAGCTGTGGACTTCCGACTCGGTATCCGAATCTCTTAGAAGAGTTAGACCCAAAAATAGTTGCTCAACGAGTATTGGATATAGAAGGCCAAAAAGACATCGCTACCCTCAGTAAAGCTGGCTCACTGAAATGGTTAGGCCGCTTTAAACATACTTTCCAAACAGCTCGATATCTAAAAACAGAAATGCCTAAACACCTTAGGAGGGTATTTACCAGAGCTCGTTTTGAGCAGCTGGATACAATGGTCAAGCACGGAAGGTTTAATCAAGTCCCATACAACGAACAATTTTGTATTTGTGGAGCACCAGAGATGGAGGATATCACACATGTATTGTTCAACTGTGAGCTGTATAAGAAAGAGAGAGACCATTGCCTTGGACCATACATTATTCACAAAACACACTGGGACCCATATATTAAAACCTCATTTTTGTTGGCCGGCCAGAACCCTAAAATAACACACAAAACAGCCCATTTTCTATTCAAAGCAACACAGCTGAGAATTGCACATCTAGAATCAATTGGGGTAAACTGTGGAGGTGACGCAGACATTTGACCTGAACGAGATCTTGTTAACAGCTTGTTTATTTTAACTCCTTTTATACCGAGGGTTGTATGTTGTATGTATGACTATGTATGACTATGTGTTAATTGTGTTATGTGTTAAATGTTTTGATACGGCCAATAGGCCAATCAATAAAACGTATAAGACAAAACAATGAACCAGTGGTTGACACCTCAGTTTCCAAGGCTTCTTCGGTTTTCGAGATTGGTTTAAGCCCTTGGCTACGGGCTTGATAAACACTATAGGTATATATATAAATATATATAAGTACGTATGGGATAGGAGGAAAAACACCCATTGTTCAAAATAAACCCGGAAGCTCCGCCTCGAGATGAGGAGAGGAGGTAGTCTATACCTTCCTATCTCTATCTCGGAAGTTGCAGCGGAGGAACGCAGGGGTACCTTCCAGCAGAAGGGCCATGGAGACCGGAAGTGGGAAGGCAGGAGCGTCCGGGAAGGAAGGAAGAGCGAGTGACGCTTGACGGCAGTGGCCCTGTCGGAAAAGCCCAGCAAGGACAGCTGAGGGAGGCAGAGGAAGCGTGCTGTCGCAGGCAAGGACTGCAGGGAGGGGGGTTTCAGCTATTTTTCCCTTCTTTGGAGGACAGCTGTCGAGTGTTCTCCTTCCTAAAGGGGAGAAGGAAGGGAAATGGCTGATATTTCGAGGGGAACTCCCTTTATTCCCTTTTTATGGGACAACATTCACCCCATTGGTGTCTTGTTGCGTCCTGTCCTTCCTCCACAACTGTCTTAATGTATCCTCTTCCTTCCCATTGAGTTCAAGGAATGTAAAGCAGGCAGGGGCAAGCTTTGGGCCCCCAGGTGTTTTGGACTTCAACTCCCACCATTCCTAACAGCCTCAGGCCATTTCCTTTTCCCCCTCAGCCGCTTAAGCGGCTGAGGGGGAAAAGGAAGGGGCCTGAGGCTGTTAGGAATGGTGGGAGTTGAAGTCCAAAACACCTGGGGGCCCAAAGCTTGCCCCTGCCTGATGTAAAGCCTTCCCTGGCTTCCTGGGAAAAGTGGTCGTTTCTTAAAAACTGAGATGAAACCATTGATAGATGGGTTTTAGAGTACAGCCAATTGCAGCTGTTGTTGTTGTTGTTGTTGTATTCATGCCCTGCTTTTCTCTCTTGCTCAAGACCCAAAGTGACTCGTAACTTGAAACACAATGGAGAGTACAACCTACAAAATGGAAATATTAAAGTAGTATTAAACCTTCAACTATTACATTATTTACTGCAGAAGAGAAGGCTGAGATGAGACATAATGGGCATGTATAAATATATGAGGGGAAGTCATAGGGAGGAAGGAGCAAGCTTGTTTTCTGCTTCCCTGGAGACTAGGACACGGAACAATGGCTTCAAACTACAGGAAAGGAGATTCCACCTGAACATGAGGCAGAACTTCCTGACTGTGGGAGCTGTTCAGCAGTGGAACTCTCTGCCTTAGAGTGTGGTGGAGACTCTTTGGAGGTTTTTCAGCAGAGGCTGGATGGCCATCTGTCGGGGGTTGTTTAGAATTTAATTTTCCTGCTTCTTGGCAGGGGGTTGAATTGAATCATAGAATCAAAGAGTTGGAAGAGACCTCATGAGCCATTCAGTCCAACCCCCTGCCAAGAAGCAGGAATATTGCATTCAAATCGCCCCTGTGCCGGCAGGACTGAAGACCGACAGGTCGCAGGTTCGAATCCGGGGAGAGGCGGATGAGCTCCTTCTATCAGCTCCAGCTCCTCATGCGGGGACATAAGAGAAGCCTCCCACAAGGATGATAAAAACATCAAAATCATTCGGGCGTCCCCTGGGCAACGTCCTTGCAGACGGCCAATTCTCTCACACCAGAAACAACTTCTGATACGACAAAAAAAAAAAAACCCTGACAGATGGCCATCCAGCCTCTATTTAAAAGAGGCCTATGAGGTATCTTCCACCTCTATGATTCTACTTGTTTGTTGTTTATTCATTCAGTCGCTTCTGACTCTTTGTGACCTCACTACTAATATTAGCATATTAACCTTTGTCCTATGCTTTTTTAATATATGTATTTTATGATCCTCTCTAAGGAACTAAAAAATGTTGTGCCCTGCATCAAACTGTGAAGACAGGCAGTAACGAAACATGTTGTTGATGTTGTTGCTCTACTTTTCTTTTTTGATCAAAACCAAAGTTGCTCCCATTGCAACCTTAAAAACAATTGAGTTTAAAAACTCACCACTTTGAGTCCCGCTCTGGGAGAAAAGTGGGCTAGAAATAAATAATAATAAAAATTACATTGCAGACATGTTAAAATAGAATTATTACATCTTATTATTTACATTTTGTTAAGTTTGGTGTTTGAATCTTTGTTCTGTGCTTTTTAATATATATATAGAGAGAGAGATGGAGAGGTGTCCTAACTATGTAATTTAACTATATTGTGCCCAACCTCAAGCTGTGAAAAGTGACGGTTAACAAATCCTATTATTATTATTATTACTACTACTACTACTACTATTATACAAATGAGTTAAAATCACATTAAAAAAGTAAACAGTTTTAATTTAATCTAAACCTTATATAGCACCCTGGCTCATTTTCCGGAAAATGGCTTTAAAAGCCTACTTTTTGAAGGTTTGTAACGAACTTGAAACATCTCAGATTTCCAGGCTTCCTTCACATCTGTATTCCTACCCTCAATGTAAAAAAACAGCTTTTTTGTGTGACAGAGTGCATCTGTACTGTAGAATTAACAGAGTTTGACACCACTTTGACTGTGTGGTTCAATGCTGTGGAATCCTGGGAGTTGTTGTTTGGTGAGACAGCAGCCCTCTTGGGTAGAGAAGGCTAAAGACCCTGTAATACTGCATCTCCCATGTTGAACTACATTGATCCTACAGTGTAGATGCCCCCTTAGGTACCTTCCTCCCACATTTCCATCCTCTCTCCTCTGATCCAGAGGTTTCCTTATGGACATATTGATGTCAGATGCCTTGGCCTGCTTTCACTTAACCTTTCTGACTCTTCTCTGCATTCAGCCATGCCAATCTTCGACCTTCAGGACAAGCTGGGCATCGACCTTGACCGGTGGTTCCTGAACCAGAGCGGCAAGCAGCCCTACCAGAGGCCCAGCGTGTGCCATGCCTTTGAGAAGGAATGGCTGGAGTGCTCTGAGGGCATCGGACAGACGCGGGCCAAGAAGGAATGTCGCTTGGAGATGGAGGACCTGAATGAGTGCATCAATATGCGCAAAATGGTAAGGGAGGACAGCCAGGGGCCCAATTCTCTCTGTCCTTATTTTTTCCCAAGAATATAAATGTAATTATATTATTTGTACTGATGTACTTGGAGACTGCCTGTACCAAGTTGCAGACATCCAACTTACATCCAACTCCTAGTTAAGAATGGGGCTGAGACAACAAGAAGTGAGAGAAATCTGACACTTGGAAGGGAAATCCACCCCTGAGAGTTATTATCTTGGGGAAAAGGGGTCTCTACTGAAGTTTTAGCACCAATCCTTGTTTCCACAAGAAACCAGATTTTTCATAATCCAATTATCACAGAGACAGAAAGTGAAGTGGAATCTTATGAACAGGGGCACAGACAGCAAAGGAAACACCACAGGGGTGTTTACCCTTCCCTATGTGTATTTACCAAAGCGCTATACACATACACACACCTTACACATATACTTGGATGGAGTTATACTTTAAAAATGAACCTGTTCTGGCTTACATACACATTCTACTTAAGAACAAAGCTACATAACCTGTCTTGTTCATAACTTGGGGACTGCCTGTATATGACTTACATCACTATTTACGGTATACTTTTAAACTTAACTTTCCCCACTTTGTCCCCGAAAAACACCAATCAGAATAATGAAGTTAAAGTAGACCTCCCACCTTAAAGACTTAATGATGAAAATATTATTGTCATCCCGTTAACTTCTTATTTCAGACAACTTCCTCAATCTACCTTTCTATATCAACATTTTATTTACTTCAAAACCAATACCCATTTTTACGTTTTCTTTATAAATGATACAAATGGTTCCCGTTCTTTTAAAAAGTTGTCAGTTGGCTGTCCTTTATTAAACAAGAGAGCCTGTCAGTTTCTGCCAGCGCAGAACATAGAGATTTCTAGAGAGAAATCACATCTGTAAATGTAGTGGCAGTAGGTTCTAGTAAAACTAGAATTGCAAATTCAATATTTTTTTACTCCACAAGAAAATGGAGGCTGGGGAGCACCTTGCCTCCAGAATTACTATGAAGCCTGTCAACTGGCTAGGTTACTAGAATTAGATATTGGAGAGCCCAAAAGATGGGTTAGGATAGAGAAATTAACACATGAATGGGAATATGGATCTTGCATTATGGGGAAAATTGGGGGAAAAGACCTAAAAAACATAAAAGGAGACCCTTTGTTATCAACAATGACCTGTTGGGGGAAATGGCAAAACAAACTTCCCCTAAATAAAATAGACATGCTCCCAATAGGTTCCATAGATAACAGAAAACCCCAGCCGTATTGCAATATGCTAAAGAAACTGGAACAGAACGGAATAACAAAGATTGGGGACTTACTGAAACCAGACAGAACTGTAATTCAATGGGAGGAAATAAAAGATAAATGCTGGCTCGGAAATTGGTTACAATGGGGTGGGCTGTCTAAAAAGTTAACAGAATTGAAGACTAAGGAAACCTCAGAAACAAATCTTGACAAATTAATAAAATGGAAAGTTGAGAAAGAGAAAGGAATCATGGGATTTATATATAAAATAATCACAGAAATACAATATAACACAAAATCTACCCTAATAGAAGTCTGGAAGGAGGAATTAAGTTGCAGTGAGAGAGAAATAGACAATTGGATGAATTCAATCAATAAAACATCTAAAGATTAAAGAAATGCAATGGAAAATACTGACAAAATGGTACAGAACTCCCGTGCAATTGGCACATATTACGAAAACGTACCCAAAATTATGTTGGCACAACTGCAGAAAAATAGGAACATACACCCACATGTGGTGGGAATGTGAAAAAATCCAAAAGTTCCATTAAATAATCAGAAAGGAAATGGAGGAGCTATTAGGGATAAATATAGAATGGAACAAGACTCAATTTTTCACCCAGAAATTGCAAAGTAAAGGGGAATATAAAGAAAGTGAGGAAATAATAAAACACATGATAGAGGCAATCAAAGCTTCAGTGGCCCTGAGCTGGAAGGACCACAAGAAATGGGATATAAAAACTTGGTATAAATATCTAGACAGTTACCTTCTCCAAGATTATATTAGCAAAAGGAAAAGTTACTATACGATGGGTCAAAGCAGAAGGATATGGGAAGCGAAATGGAAGGGTCTCATTTACAGAATAAAGGGGAAAGATAAATATACGGTGTTAAATAAGACTATTCTCATGATTGAACAATTGTAATAAACACAATTGGGGAAAATACTGGAATTTTGAATGTTAATTTCAAAGATTGTATGTTTCTATGTATTATACAATACAAAACTTTAAAAAATCTGTAAATGTAGCGGGCAAATGTTTCTCTGGGGATGGGTTTCATCCTGGAAGTGGCATCATCACAGTCCTCCTTTTCCCTTTCTTCTGGCAGATCAAGCGCCTGGTAGCCATCACAGAACAGAGGAAGAAGCTGATGAAGGAAGGGAAGTACACCCCGCCTGACTACCACAGCGGCAAGCTAGAGACCGAGCCTTGAAAGCCTGCTGTTGGTTTCAGGGGTAGCAGAAGTCATAAGCGCTGCCCAATCTCTTTTGGACTCCTCTGTGGGGGTTTTAATAGAAGGCATCTTTTGCTGTATCAGGCTAGAGCCTTTGACCATTACCCTGCAGCTTCGAAGCAATGGCTGCTTGTGGGTCAAGTTCAGTTCTCGGCTGTCGCCTTGGCTTGAATAAATATCCTAATTTGGGTCTCAAGTGATGCTGGTTTTGGTTATTAATCCTTAATGATTCCATCTGGAGAGCAGAATTTGCAAACAGAAAGGAGATCCCTTAAACCTGTAGCTGCTGGTGGACTCCCAACATACCTCACCATTAGCTCTGCTCATGAAGGGTCTGCTGGGACTCACAGTTGATGGACATCTAGAGTAGCAGTTTTCAGCTGCTGTGGTGTGGCACATATATATGCCACAAAAGGATTATGGGTTTGCAACAACAATGGGCCACCAGTGAATTTTGAAATGCTGCACAAAATCAAAACTGCTCTTGAGAACCACAGGTTTCCCCCTCCCAATCAGATTTGCCCACTTTATGTTCTTAAGACTCCAAAATCCATCAGCCACAACCAATAAGAACAGTAGTCATGGATGATAGGATTAGGAGTCCACTAATAACCAGGGGGAGCACCGAACCTAGAAGCTGAAAAGGGCTGGCCCCTTAATTTGCTCCTGCTGTTCGTTACTTGTATATCTTGCCTGTTTCCCATGGACTTTGAGATTGGTACTTGTATCTCACATCTTGTTTTTATCTCCAATGGCAGTTCCGCCATTGGTCTGAGTGCAGAGTCGAACCTAAGTCTCCCAAGCCCTCCTACTGGTGCTCTCAAACCACTTGGATGTACTGCCCCTCTATATTACCATTTCTTCCTCCTACTCACGTCACTGTGTCACCTTCTACTCCTGGAAGAGGTTTCCTGTCTTGCGCCAATCATTCTCTTTCATGCTCCTATCTTTGGTAAAGCTAAGGCAGAGAGGCTTGTGAGTGGCATTAAATGGCAGCAAGTCTGGGAGTGGGACAGAGCCAGAGAAGCATGATCTTTGGAGTTTTGATCTTGGGACTCTTCTACAGTTTGCCCCTTCTGTTTACTTTCAGGGATATTTTTGGATGGAGTACAAGGGACTCAAGTTCTTTATTTCAATGTTGCATGAGATGAACACAGCAACTTCTTTGACTATGTTCACAATTGGATTACAATGATCCCGCTCACCTGGGGCAAGCAGGAGGGAAATCACACCAGACCCAGGGTTTGCAGCAGAGCAAAATGCCATTTTGGGAGAGGAGGAAAACCAATTTAAGGGGGTGCATGTGGGGTGAGTGTGCTTATTAACAAAAGACCCTCCTCATAAATGTACAGCTGAGTAACTTATTAGCAGCAGTGTGACCCAGCAGCAGTAGCCCAAAGTAATAAAAAGAACAAAAACACAGAAACTTATGTTATATCTTCGATAGGAGGCTTTTCTTTATAGCAAAATAATATGGTTGCACTATTTACAAAAACATGATTTCCATAACACAAACAAAGTTCGTTATACTTCCTTCTTTGCTTCCATGCTGGGCTTCTTTCTCATGCAGATAAACACCTTCGCTCTCACAAAGCCTCTTCTCACACCAAAGTTACACAGGAGCTTCACACAGCAGCCTTCACACTGAAGCTTCACACACGATGGCCTTCAACCTGGGGCTTTTCTCACCGAAGCTTCTCACACTGAGGCTTACCTCTCACTAAGACTTTCTCACACTAAGTGCTCTCTCAGACTGATGCCTCCTATATATTGAGGCGAACTAACACTGAGGCCTTCTCATACTGAGGCCTACTAGCACACTGAGGCCCCTCTCCCACAGAGACCTCTCACAGACTGGGGGCTACTATGCTACAGGTACACCTGCTTATACCGCAGCTTTTGCTGAGTCATTGCATCCGTTTAACCCATTCAGTCCTTGACTCACATTTTTGTAATTTAAAAAACTTAATTAATATTTAATATTTCTGACAGAACAGCTCTGTGTTTCCAACAAGGCCATAGAAACCAAGTATATTTGATGTGCCCAGAATGCTCAGTTGGCCTGGCTGGTGAAGGAACCCCACAAATGCCAAATCTTGTTACATGTTCCTCCAGATCTGAATTAATGTTCACGTGAAGGGCACCTTCTCACAAAGCTTGGCTGTTCTGCTATGATAGTATCCCCGTTGATGGAAAGTTTTGAAGGGAATCGAAGGACAATTCGTGCCCAACTCTCCCATCCCTGAGGGAGGATGAGAGGAGAAAAGAGGTCAGGCAGAACCCAAGCAAAAGCAGAGCAAAAACCATGCCTTTCTGGCACATTTCATCTCTCATAGTCCTAGCATATATGATGCATGGCTGATTTCTCTTCATCAGAACGGAATTTCTGAGCAAAAAGGACACCCCCCCCCCCCGAAAGAAAGTAGGGCTAGAGCTTTCTGTTTTCATAAAGGAAATAGAATATTGCAGGATGAAAATAATTGTGGAATCAAACATGTTGTTATGTGATGCGCATGGAAGAGTCAACTAGGGCACATGGTGCCCTTTGCTTTGAAATGCAGTATTTTAAAAGATGCAAATCAGAAGCAGAGAGAAGAACGAAGGCAAGGTTTTTGGACAAGTAGAGAGGTAAGAGGGAGCGGGGCCTTGTTTTGGCAAGCAGATGCCATAAACAATCTCCCTGCAATGCTCTCTCTTTTTCTTTCATCCTGGCCATAATAACGCTCCTTTCCTCCAGTGCTTGTGGAGTCAGCAAGAAATCCTCACTTGGTGGGTTAATTTCCCTGCTGTTGCTGCCGGCAAAGGAAAGCAAAGGGCTAATTATGGCAGGCTGCCTTTCGCAGCTGCAAATAAGCAAAATGGGAGCAGGAGGAGCACAGCGCTTGGGAAACGGAAGAGCTTTCAATGGCCAAATGGTTTTCCCAACTGAGCTCCTTTCTCCTGTTCAATGTCATCCTCAGCCTTGAAACCAGCATGCAGTCCAGAATCCTAGAGTTGGAAGAGACCACAAGGGCCATCCAGTCCTTCCCTCTTCTGCTAGGCAGTACGAGACAATCAAAGCCCTCCTGACATATGGCCAGCCAACCCCTATTTAGAAACCTTCAGAGAAGGAGACTCCACTGGATTCTAAACCAGTGTATTCCATTGTTGAATGGCTTTTACCATCAGGAAATTCTGTGTAATCCAGTCGTTCTCATCCTGTGGGTCCCTAGATGTCTTGGCTGTCAACTCCCAGAAATCCTAACAGCTGGTAAACTGGCTGGGATTTCTGGGAGTTGTAGGGCTTGAGAACCACTTGAATCTCTTTCTCTGCCATTTGAATCCATTGTGTCTCTTGAGCAGCAGAAAGCAAGTTTTGCTCTGTCCTCAATGGGACACCCAAATATTTAAACATGGCTCCCGTGTCAACTCTCAACTTGCTGTTCGTAGAATCTAGAGTTGGAAGGGACCCCAAGGGCCATCCAGCCCAACCCCTGCCAGACAGGAAAAGCACAACCAAAAGCCTCCCAATAGATGGCCATCCAGGCTCCATTTAAAAGCTTCCAAGGAAGGAGCTTCCACCACACTCCGAGACAGAGGGGTCCAGTGTTGAACAGCTCTTCAAATGGCCAGAAAGTCCTTTATTGTGTTCATTTGGACTATCCTGTCATTTGAACTCATGGCTCCATTGAAGCCTAGTCTCCAGGGAATCAGAAAACAAGCCTGCTCTCTCTTCCTTATGACATCCTTTCAGGTATTTAAACATGGTGATCATGTCTCCTCCTAACCTTCTCTTCTGAAGCTAAACAGATCAAGCTCTTTAAGCATCTCCTCCAACGAATTCATGGTCTCCACACCTTTGATCTTTGATCTTCTATATATTACCAGTTGCAATGAATCTATCCCGAGTTTAATTTGAGCTTTAAAGGAACTGACCCTCAATTGCTGGAGTTCAGCACCTTGGCTAGCACCATCAATACCTTAAAGCTGTCAGTAAGGCGTGTTCACCATCATAGCAGGTTGGAGAAGAACTGGTACCAGGAACCTACGAATTTTTGGGTTCAGTGTGCAGGTGGCACAAGAAGGAGAAATAATTGGATTCCATAGAATCTGAGTTGCAAGGGACCTCAAAGGCCATTTAGTCCAACCCCGTTCAGTCATGCAATCTCTCCCAAAAGATGCCCATCCAACTTCCATTCCTCCAAAGAAGAGCAACCCACCATGAATAGTTCTAATAGTCAAAGTGTTCTCCTATTACAGTGTTTCTCAACCTTCCTAATGCCGTGACTCCTTAATACAGGTACTCATGTTGTCGTGACCCCCCAACCATAAAATTATTTTTGTTGCTGCTGCTATGAATCATGATGTAAATATTTGATATGCAGGATGTATTTTCATTCACTGGACCAAATTTGGCACAAATACCCGATACACCCAAATTTGAATACTGGTGTTTATTGATTTTGTCATTTGGGAGTTGCAGTTGCTGGGGTTTATAGTTCACCTACAATCAAAGAGCATTCTAAACTCCAGCAATGATGGAACTGGGCCAAACTTCCCATGCAGAACCCCCATGTCTTGAAAGGACTCACTAGCGCAAGCCTCCCTCCAGCCTCGCACGCTCTTCCTCGCCCACATATGCGCACCACTCTGCCATGTGCCGAGCATGCCTGCTCTCCCCTCCCTTCTTGGAGTTTCAGAAACGGCCCTCCCCTGGGCTGAGAGGCTGGCCTATCACACTGGAGGAGAGCTTTTGATTCCAAGTCTGTTTCCAAAAAGGAAGAGAAGAGCCAGCGGAGAGATCGTCAGCCTTCTCTGACAAAAGGATTCCTAAGACCATCAGAAATATATGTTTTCTGATGGTCTTTGGCAACCCCTCTGAAACCCCACTCGCAACCCCAGGGGTCCCGGTCCCCAGGTTGAGAAACACTGTCCTATTTTTAATTCAGTGTACATATGGTGTCAAAAGATTTGGCAGAAAATGTGAATGTGGGCCATGTGTCAATTTTACAGTGGACTACACAGTGAGGTTAACTGAAATCAATACTTCCATTTGGAATTTGAGCAAAATGTACACTTCTCCATCTTGCTGTTGTGAAAAACTAGTGACAGCAAGCAGACCTGTAATTTAGGTGTGACAATGAAGGTGGATCATCTCTTTGCAGCTTCTAGAAAATTGCTCTCCTCCATCCAATGCTGCCTATTCTCTCCTCTTCA